GAGTCCTAGTATTCCACCATGTTTGAGTTGACTGGAGACCCAGCTACTCTCTCTAGCCCTACTGGCACTGAGTGAGCCAGATGACTAGTGTTGACCTTGGTGCTGACACCAATGGAGAGGATTACTTTCAACTAGTGCAGTCGAGAAGCAAGAGGAAGACAGCAACGGCAGAAAACCTAAGAGACCAACAACTGCAACCTCAACCAGCTATGAGAGTAAGATTAAACTTCCCTGTAGGTACTCCACGTGAAGTCAAATATCGATGGCTGAACGAGGCGGAAGAGAGATACCCAGACGCTGACTTTCAGTTCAGTCAATACCAAAGACTATGTACGAAAGATAGGAAAGCTCGAGCTTTTGGGTGTGAATGTAGTAAAGGCCTCTGAGGCAGATGGCGTTGGTATCGGTGAGAACGTTGTCTGTTTGTTCACCGAATAATTCAACTTCGGTAACGCCAAGTTTGTATACAGCAGCCATGCCTCACCCGTGTTTCCTGTGCAGAAACTCTAAAGAAATTCATCCTACTTTTATATTTCATCGATTCCCTCGACAACAGGAACATTCGAGTGTATATATAATGCATAATTAACACAATATAATAAATGTTGGGGTTGGCATCACTGTATCGGTCCCAACGGACGCGGAGCTAGTTCCGACTCAGACGTTTCGCTGTGAGGACAAGTCAACCCCGTCATCTTCGCCAATAAATGGACTTATCCCCCGAGATGGCACCTTAACATGGCGCAGTGAGTAGGATATGAATAATAACACAAGAAGCAGTGGTGGAGTTTAAGATTGACCCCCTCCCCCCTTTCGGAGCTAGATTTTATTTGGAACCTTGCCGATAGATGGCACTGATTCCAGCTTTGCGGCGCACGGTTAATTCAATAGCTTTCGTAGGAGCTTTCCTATCTTTCGTATATAGTTTTTGGTCAATACACAAGATCATGTTCTGCTTGGAAACAACTCAGCAACCATACAGGGTCTCCTCACCAATAAGATAGAGGGAATAACCATGGAACAACCATCCCAAACATCGAGCAAAACAATCATCTTAATGATAGGGCTCGACCAGTACCAGACCCCTGAAATACAAGAAGCTCATCCCAACATCAGAAGGAAGAAGCGACTCATGGGCAAGAAGGCAGTCATTGCAGACTGGGTTGACTCGGGGGACCCACACCAGACTCATCGAGTCCGTGGTGCCTTTCGGACTCTGAAGGTAACTTCTCTATCAGCCCCCTACCCTGGGGTGTTACAAGTATAAACACTGGGGCCATGTGGCCCGAGTATGCCCCTCTGCCATACCGTGATGTGGTCTCTGCTCACGATAACATGCAACACATGTTTGCAGAGATACAGTTGATCAAGGGGGAACCATTCAACAGAAGTGTATAAACTGAAAAACAGATCGAGTTCCTGTATGGCACCCTGGTTGTCCTTGAGCTCCTACACCCCCTCAGCACCCAAACCCCCCACCCAGACAGGTCTCAAGAAACACTACTGCTGCAAGGGAATCCACTACGGCCAACCCCTGGCCCACCCTCCCCACCAAAGCTCCAGGATCACCAGCAGCCAACACAAGATCCGCATGGGCCAACACAGACGTCGTGAACACACACAAAATGAAGAGATCAATGATTTAAAAATGAAATTAACGGGGAGCCACGAATTACACAAAAGTACCCAAAAGTATAGCAAATAAGGGTAAAATCTTAACGAATATCTGTTATACATACACAAAACATGTTTAATAATATTTTTAGTGTAATTTTGAAAAATAATTTGTAAGATGAAATAATAAACAGCGAAAAACTTTCAGTACTGGCGAACGCTAAATTCCAAAGAGTTCGTGAACAAGGGAGGTAACTCAGATCCATCGTGATGCACTTCGCTAGCCTAACCTAACCCAACCTAACCTAACGAAAAATAAATCCTACGGCTATGTTAAATACCCCAAAGTAACAGAAACATCGGTAATTATATCTCCATTTTGGATAGGTGACTCTTTGGAATTTAGCGTTTTTCGCTGTTTATTATTTCATTATTTTGACTACATTTCAATGAAAACATTATTAATCAGGTTTCATTGATGTAAAACATATATTCGTTAAGATTTTACCCTGATTTAATATACTTTTGGGTACATTTGGGTACATTTGGATACTTTTGGGTAATTCGTTGGACCGAATAACGAATTCAAAGCTCAATTTGCAGCTCAAACTGATACGTTAAAGAGCCTCTACGTTGCACTCCTGACCTCCATCACAAAGTTGTGACTGAGGACATCGATATTGTGTGTCTGCCGGAGTGTCTCACACCTAATGGTAAGCCTCCACCCAGTCTGCCCAATTATGTGTATTATGATCCTAGTTCTACTCACACATGTTTGATGTATGTTAAGAAGTCACGACCTCATGTACAGTTGCGGAAATGTTTCTACGTCCCCTGTGATAACCCGTGAATGGGTATTGGTTGTGTAACGACGGACGTGATTAGTGGATGGGTTTGCTATAGGTTATATAGGTTGGCCGTTTGGAGACAAGGGTTACCACAGGGGTGTAGGAACACATTTCTGCAACTGTACCTCTTGTATCCAAAGATACTACCAATTTTCAGTACCATGGGATCACTATCCACCTGTGTAACTCCACACTCAACGTGCTAAACGCCTATGCTTCCTCAGATCAGCTTCAGTACACAGATCTCCCAGACTTTGTACACATTGAACCCACTGTCCTAACTGGTGACCTGAATACTAGACACAAGAAATTATGTGACCCCACCACTAACACCGATGATAGGAGACTTATTTCACTTTTCAGCGCATATGAAGATGCTCAAATTATAGGTAATAATGAACCAACACACATCTATGGCGGGGCTCTAGACATGTGTATCATCCCATCGCTGAGATGCTCTCTGAAAACATGTGCTACCGCTGGATCCCCCAGACGTTTAGTGTTAGTCTCATCTAGAGGTTTGTTGCCTTCACCGTTTCGGGGCAACGTGAAGGTAGAGTTTGGCTCTGATGATTTGTGTCACAGTGGTGTGAGCCATGCTTGGTTCGGGTGATAGGGACATCTCAACGATTTCTTTCTCTAACAGTGATGTAGTCAATGAGATGCCAATGTTTGGATCGTGAGTGTTGCCAAGAACCCTTGAGCTTGTCGGCCTGCCTGAACAAGGTGTTGATGATAGAGAGGTTGTGTTCAGCACATTTTCTGAGGAGTAGGCCGTTGGGATTAGACTTGCCTAGTCCGTTTCTCCCTATGGATCCTTACCAACTCTGTCATTGAAGTCACCCAGGAGCACAACCTTATCTTCTCTGGGGATAGAGGTTAGCACTCTGTCAAGGTCGGCGTAAAAAGCCTCTTTGATGCCGTCCTCTGCATCCAGTGCTGGAGCGTATGCACTGATGAAGAAGGCATGACACGAGTGATTCAGTGGGACTCGGAGCGTCATGAGGCGCTTGTTGATTCCAACAGGCATTTCAGTTAGCCTACGTAGGATGGATTGGCGAATGGCAAAGCCAGCTCCATAATTGTGGTTTCTCTCTGCAGCAGGCAGGCACACACACACACACACACACACACACACACATATATATATATATATATATATATATATATATATATATATATATATATATATATATATATATATATATATATATATATATATATATATATATATATATATATATATATATATATATATATATATATATATATATATATATATATATCTGTATATTTTCAGCCACTGGGTACAACTCTATTAATCCTTGTTGTTACAACCTCTTCAAACTTAATAGCGCTAGAACTGGGATGACTCACCATACATTGTGGACTTAAGCAACGAAGATGATAAACAAGTTTACAGTATATAGGTAGGCGCCCTGTCAGTTTCTAAATGGTGGAATAAATTTGGGCACCAAATCCAGCACCAACTTTCTCCACTGAAACATATTTTTTTTACCTCTTCAATGCCAATTTTCATGACAGTTGAAAGTGAGTCTGACTGATCTAATATAAGATCCTTTCAAATGAAATTATTTATCAAAAACATGAAAAACTTGCCAACTTCTTGTCCAAGGAATGGTACCGACAGTTTATCTGACTGAAATGTTTCAAGGAAGTGTTGCATGATCTTTGCTGTAAACACTAAGCTTAGCAACAGTTCAGTTAAAGTGTCACTCACAGCCTCATGAACAACAGAATAAGATGAACATTTAAGAACCTTCTTCTTTGGATAACCGGATATGTTTTCAATGTATTTGTGACAATTATCCAGATCAAGACGCCTCTTTCTGCTACCGTACAATTAACCTTCAACCAATCGTGTAGCACAGAACTGGTGGAGGAACACTTTGCTGCCGGTCATTGTTGTGTAGTCAGATCTTCTTGCTGGAGACTCACCGAACAGATATCATAAGGACCGCAAAAGCTGATCAACCTTCCATCCTGCACTTCCAAACCCTGTTCTAAAGGCACATTGTACATCACGCACTCCACAAGTCCCACTGCCAGCCAGAGAAGGAGTATCATGGACAGAAACATCGTCTCGGCAATATACTTTGAGAAATTTGGAAAGTAAAAAAAAATTCAATTGTTTTATGGAATTCCCTGACTTCACCCTCACCTTTTCAAAATTAAACTTTTCCCTGACCTGCCATGAAATTCCCTAAATTTTCCTAACCTGTAGTAACCCGGCACTTAACTTTTGTATATATTCAGCTTATGGCTGTTGTATTTTTCAATAAACAGTTTATTATTATTATTATTATTATTATTATTATTATTATTATTATTATTATTATTATCGCATACCAAGTGATAACCCCCTCCCCCACAGGATAACACAACCACAGCAGTAACGGCGGCGGGAGATAAGATACAGGTGAGGGTGATATGGCCGCTATAGATAAACCAACAGGTCCTGGTATTCTCATCCTTGTGTCAATGGGGCAGAGGAGCCAAGTGAAGGGGACCTCAGCCACCACGAGTCAGAAATTCCCCAACAGGTGATGTGTTACGTATAGGGTCGGCCCTTCCCTGCACGGTACAGGTGTCAACAGTGATCATTCATTTGCTATTGTTGTTCTATTGACTGACGCTAGTGTGTGTGTCCGCGGCAGACGAGTCATTATGGGACCAGTGGTGATAAGGACTGAAGAATCAAGGTGTCGTCATGTGACTTATGTGATTACATAAACGTTTACAGATTTACTTTTCATTTGACAGTGTTGTGTGTGCGTTCCCAGAACAGTCTTCGACGGCAATGTTGTAATATTAGAAAATAATAGTGTTTGTTTACGTGACTCGTGTGATTAACGAAAATAAGACATATTAACCTACATAGTGTATACGGTAACAGAAGTGTGAGTGGAGCTTCACGGAGCCTCGCAAGACACCTGGGTTATATCCTTGAAGAATGACAGTGATCTCGCGTGTCTTACAAGTAAACAATTATTAATTCACATATGACATTACATATACTCAAGTGAGGAGAGAAAGAGGTGGAGAGGGTTCAGAGATCAGTGAGTAAGGCTCCCGACGGTACAGTAATCCTCTATGAAACAATGTTGCTCAGTTTCACTATCGTCCAGGTCTCAGATAAAGAAGAAACAACACCATACATGATATTTGACCTGAGTGATATTATTTATGACGAAAAAAAAACATCTGAGTGTTAAACCAGTACGTGAGCTTGAATGCAAACAACAGTGATTTGTTCCTCAATAATAAGCGCAACTCATTGTGGATATAATGTTGTACAAGACTAAATATGAGTATACTGTACCTACTTTTGGATGTAAATAAATACAAGCATCTTATGTGTTACACAGCTGTGCCCAACAGTGGAGGAAGTGCGTCACTAGCTATCCTTGGGAGGAGATAGACACAAACACTTTCTGCCCCCTTCCTCGTTAATACAGTGTAACACAATGGACGAACATTTTGTGAATCCTTGACAACCAAACCGAAACTGCTGTCCATTGTGGTTCATTACCAAACACATTAGACCCAGGTGGGCAGATAGTTTTGTGTGTGTGCACAAGAACCTTGCTAGTTACAAGAGGAGCATGGAGGAGACACTGCAGCAAGGTGAGGGAGATGTATGTATGTATGTATGTATGTACAGTATGTATGTGTGAAATAATAATAATAATAATAATAATATTATTATTATTATTATTATTATTATTATTATATTATTATTATTATTATTATTAACAATAATTAACGGTAAATTGAAAGAGCATGGCAGCCAAAAAGCTGAAAATATAGTTACTTAATTTGGAAATTGGTCACTTGATTGACAAATAATATACAAGTAACATAAGTGATACAAATATGATATATAATAAGAAGGTGGGGAGTAGGTTATACTACAGGGCATTTCAACATAGTAACAGTGCAAAACGGTAAGATTGGCTGGGAGTGAACACCGGTTGATTACGAGTTGTTGATGATTTTTACAATGGTTGGGACTGGGCTGTTCGCGGACGAGGGCTCTCGGGAGGACGTAGGAGCCGGTGTCGAGGATGGCGCAGAAGCTTCTCACCAAATTTGCAGATGAGGTCGTAGTGATGGTCAGAGAGAGGCAAGAGGGTCAGTGTGTTGAGCGCTTCTTGATATGTGGAGTAGGAAGGGGAGAGAATAATCTTGCCTGCCCTCTTCTGCACTTTTTTTAGGTGTTTACGTTGTGTGGCATTTAGAGAGGAAGACCAGGCAGGGAAGGCATTGGTGAGCTTGGGAAGTATGAATGTTGAGTAAAGCACTGAGGAGCTCGGGCGCAGGAACTCAGAGGTACCTGAGTTGGCAGAGGAGGTGGAGACAAAAACTGGAGGATTTGACAATAATATTATACTGGCGTCTTTTCCAATTTAGTTTGTTATATATAGTGCCGCCGTGATGCGCCCGTCCGTGTGTGTGTGTGTGTGTGTGTGTGTGTGTGTGTGTGTGTGTATGTGTGTGGGTGTACATGATTCATGGTCACTGTCCTACCTAACAACTAACGTGGTAATTCTATACTGTTGTAAGAATCGAACTGATAAAAGTTGCATTCATGATTTTGAGACAAAAAAGTTCATTAAGAAAGACAACTTCCTGACAACCCAAAATAATGTCAGTCAGCCGCTAGACAATTCTAAAATAAAAGCCAGCTTCTAGACATGCCAATATAAGAGACTCTCAGACACCAGACAGCTCAACAGGCGATCACAAGTCATTCATAGAGGAAACTGAGGCAGCTTCAAAACTTCCTGACAAGCGTAACTGAGATACACGTCATCACCCGACAGAGTACCTGAAGGAGGAGCAAGAGGAAAATAATGGGAGGTGGACGAGCATAGCGACAGGAGGGTGGTTGAACGTGACGGAAGAGGTGGTGCAGGAGGAGGTGCCGGAGTGGCTGGTGATGCTGGACCACGCAGTCACCCTCATTATGACCTGTAACACCATCACTCTCATGCTGGGGATGGGGGCTGCCACCTACTGGAAGGAGGTAACACACACACACACACACACACACACACACACACACACACACACAGCCAATTACCACATTACTACTTTGCTGTCACTCGGAATCGAGTATGACGATCATCCAGCTATGATACAATGATGTGAGTTATTAAGGATGTCACCTACGTTAGTGAGTTCAGAGGTGACTAAAGAGGCCGATACGGGACCAGCAGGGTCATTCACAGATGTTGCACATGTGGGAGGGCTACATCTAGTGCAGGAGGGGCGGCGGCAGCTTCTTTCCGACGTCGGCGTTTGTTTGCCTCGTTTTGCAGTCGGGCTAACTCGAATGTATTGATACCTCCTTGTGTGGTGCTCCTCCAAGCGTTACGGTATGGGGTAATCGTCTCTCAAGTGAGGGGGTTGATTTGGCACTTTTTCAGGTTTGTCATAAGACTATCCTTATACCTTTTCAGTTACCCGCCAGTGTTACGTTTACTATTCGTTAGCTGACTGTAAAGTAGCTGCTTTGGTCGTCTACTGTAGTCCATGCGGGTAACATGGCCAGTACAGCGTAGTTGTTCTGGATAATAGTAGACTCGGTGCTCCTACAGTTGGTGTCAGCAAGAATACTGGCATTTGTTCTCTTTTCCTCCCAGCGAACTCGGAGGATGGAACGTACACTACATTGTTGAAAGTTTTCAAGTGTTTTGAGGTGCTCCATGTATGTGACCCATGACTCGCTGCCATATAGCTTGGTGAGGAGGACCACTGCTCGATATACGTGTAACTTTGTAGATAATTTCAGCTCCCTACAGCTGAAGACACGGTTTGGGAGTCTACCAAAGGCTTGAGATGCACATCTGATCCGATGCTGAATCTCTTCATCGATGTCCGTGGTGGTGGACAGGTGGGAGCCGAGATACCTAAAGTGGGAACATTAAAGAGGGTAGTACCATTAACCTGGATGGATGATGGAAGTGTGTCTGAACTAGGGGCAGGCTGAAAGAGAATCTGAGTCTTATGTACATTCACCTCAAGGCCAAAATGTGCATACACATCTGCATAGGCGTTCAGGATCTCCTGTAGGTCGCGTTCGGTGTGAGTGACAAGGGTGAGGTCCTCTGCATACTTTAGTTCAGTAATGGAAACTGCTGACACCTTTGTTCCTGCCAGGAGTCGTCTTATGTTGAAAAGACCCTTCATCCGATATTCGATGTCCACCCCTCCGGCTAAATTGGCACTGGCACGAGCAAGGAAAGCAGCTAAGAAAATGGAAAAGAGAATTGGTGCCAGTTCACACCATTGTTTAACCCCCGTTTGGATGGGTAAGAACTCAGACTGGGTGCCATTGTGTAGGACACCGCCGTTCATGCCAGTGGAGTTGCCTCACAATAGCGATGAATTTTGGTGGGCAGCCAAAACGGTTGAGGGTTCGCCAGAGGGCTTCCTTGTTGATCGAGTCAAAGGCCTTGGTTTGGTCAATGAAGGCTATGTACAGGTCACGACGCTGTTCTCTGCACTTTTCCTGTATCTGGAGGGGCAGCAAAGATCATGTCAGTGGTGCCACGTGGTGGTCTAAAGCCACATTACGATTCTGGGAGAAAGTTTTCCGCAGTAGGAAGAAGTCTGTTTAAGAGGAGGCGATGATCTTGCCAGCTATGGACAGCAGCAAGATCCCACGGTAGTTGCCACAGTCTGACCGGTCTCTCTTGTTCTAATAAATATTGACGATGGAAGCATCTTTAAGAGCTTGGGGGATTTCCTCCTTTTCCCATATATTCTCCAGGAGAGAGTAGAGATGGCTGGTAAGCAGAGGTCCTCTTGCTTTAAACACCTCGGCTGGGATTCCATCAGGCCCTGAAATTTTGTTGCTTTCCATCTGTTTGATGACAGTAGCTACCTCATCCAGGAATGGAGGATAGCTGAGGTGGGTCAGCTCTGCATGCTGAGGGACCGGATGGGAAGTCAGGACATCCACATCGGTGTTTCGGTTGAGCAGTGAATGGTAGTGCTCTTTCCAGTGCTGAAGGATGCCTTCATCGTCTTTAACTAGGGAGTTACTGTTGGATGAACGGGGTAGGGCTGCGCCACAAGTGATTAGCCCATAAAATTTTTAAGTGGAATTAAGAAATTCGCGCATCTTGTGCTGATCTGTAATTTTTTGTGTTTCACATGCTTTATTTTTAAACCAATCATTCGTTAGATTGGGAAGCTCACGCTGGGCCGCTGCTTTCTTCTTGCGGAAGGTATCAGCTTTGGTCCGAGACTGAGGGTTGTCCTGCCAGTCAGTTAAAGCGTGTTTATCATCGATTGCCGGGTCATTTTCATCAAACCAGTCCTCGCGTAGTCTTTCAATCTGGCCGAGGGTCTCTCTGCAAGTTTCTGTCATGAGTGTCGAAAATATCCCGTTCGACACTGGAATTTGGGTTGTTTGTTGTTGGGTTGTTTATCAGCCCATGTTCAAGCTGCTCTCTGAAAGCATGTGCTACCACTGGATCCTCCAGACGCTTGGTGTCAAAGGCGCTTCTAGAGGCTTGCTGCCTTCGCCGTTTTGGGGAGACGTAAAGTGATAGCTTGGCTCTGACGAGCCGATGATCAGTGTCGCAGTGATCTGAGCCACGCATGGCTCGGGTGATGAGGACATGTCGGTGATCTCTATCTCTGATAATGATGGAGTCAATGAGATGCCAGTGATTGGATCGTGGATTTTGCCATGAATCCTTGAACTTGTCGGCCTGCCTGAATAAGGTACTGGTGACAGCGAGGTTGTGGGCAGCACACTTGCTGAGGAGTAGGCCGTTAGGATTACACTTGCCTAGTTCATTTCTCCCTATGGTTCCCTGCCAAATGTCAACATCTCTGCCAACTCTGGCATTCAAGTCACCAAGTAGCACAACCTTATCTTCTCTGGGATAGAGGTTAGCACTCTGTTAAGGTCGGCATAAAAGGCCTCCTTAATGACATCCTCTGCATCCAGTGTTGGGGCGTATGCACTGATGAAAAAGGCATGACGTGAGTGATTCAGTGGGACTCGGAGCGTCATGAGGCGCTCGTTTATCCCAATAGGCATTTCAGTTAGCCTGTGTAGGATGTGTTGGCGGATGACAAAGCCAACTCCATAAATGCAGTTTCTCTCCGCAGCAGGCTTACCCTTCCAGAAGAAGGTATAGCCAGACCCCCATTCTGTGAGTTGACCCTCGCCGGGACTCATTAATGGTTGCTATGTCGATGTTTTACCTAGCCAGCTCTTTTGCCACAAAGGCAGTTCTTCTTTCAGGACGCTCATTTGTGCCAGTATCCAGAAGGGTTCTGACGTTCCATGCAGCGACTATAAGAGGTTGTATAGTTGTTGTTTTTTTATCTGTGATTATGATCGTATTTTCAACCGCATAAGGATGACCTCACTGGGTGCGGTTGCCCAGCCAGGTTGTTTTTTTAGGCAGGCTATGTTTAGGGCACCTTTTCTAGCCCCCTCCCCGTGTGGGGTGAGCAGAGTAGCTCCTCGAAAGGGCTGCGCAGTCACACAAACAGGACCAGATTGCGCTGCTGCCTAGATCCCAGCGCATAAACGACCATCTTATCTGTGCCGCCCATGTGCAGAATTGTGATTAGACTTCCGGCAGTCATCGCTGCCTGTCCCCGTCGCCAGAGGACTTTTGGGGTATTGGGTTTTTTTGATGATGATGAAAGATATGATGAGCTGGATGGTGGCTGCACGTGATTTGATTTATGTGGCGAGACAGGAGCGCTGGCTGCAACCACACATCTTGGCTCTCCCTTTTCCTGATCCAGTAGTGCAAGTGTTTCAACGACTGGGGAGAGGGAGAGTTGCGCGCACACACACACACACACACACACACACACACACACACACACACTAGTAGTGAATAAGGATATACTCTTATATCTCTGCTGGTTCTATACCTTGGTGTTAACATTCAGGATATAGATTTTATTTTCCAAGTTAATCCGATAATATAAGATATCAATTTTTCAGTAAAATGATTGCTAAATACGTCGTTAGTCTGTTAAAACGTTGATATTATCCAGTCTCGCCTGATGTCACATTCATATAAAACATCACCAGATATTATGACGAGAATAGAAGTCGAATCTTATCCTTTTGCTCCCAGATCTGGCATCACCTGCGGCGGCCGTGGGGTTGTATGATCGGTGTGGTGTGTCAGTTCGTGTTGCTCCCAGCTGTGGGTTTTGGTCTCTGTATCATCTTCCAGCTACCACCCTACCAGGCCTTAGGCGTCCTCATCCTCACCTGTAGTCCAGGAGGAGCCTTCTCAAACTTCTTCACCTACTGGGTGGATGGCGACCTCGCCCTCAGGTGAGTCTTGGCTGTTATTCTCAATTTTGTGAGTTATTTATCGTCTTTACCAAAACGACAGAGACTTCACTCCAACGAGTTAAAATCTTGGCATTGCAAGAAAGTATAGATATTAGCAGTATATAAATTATAGTCACTATTCTTGCCTAATAGCATCATAATGACGGCGACGTCGTCGGTGCTAGCGTTTGGGATGATGCCCTTCAACTTATGGGCGTACTCGAAGCGGTGGACGGACCAGGAGATGCAGGTCCCCTACCTCAACATCCTCCTCAGCCTCATCTTCGTTACCATCCCCGTCATCATAGGCATGCTCGTCAGGCACTACACGCGCAAGTGGGCCGTCTACATCTCTAAGGTTTGTCGCATTATCTCCTGTAAAAGGTTTCGTTAGCCATAGTAGCGTCCAAAGCAGTTAGAGGTGGCAGGAAACGGCTGGGAACATAAGATGCAGTGCCTATTTCCCTCACAGTTAACCCTTTGAGGATGACGGTTTAACCCTATTCGTCTTCAAGGTGTTGAGGAACTCAAAATCTCTCTTATCCACAAGAAAGACGTGAATCCTCCCTCCTTTACTACAGATGAAAGAAAGGGACTTGGGTCGTCCGCCTTCCAAACTGTACCCAACTATCTCACACTCTATCTCTCCTTTCATATACATATATCTCTTTTAAATCCTGTGTATTCCAGCTGGTACAACCCTGAAGTGGCTGATGGCAGGTGTGCTACACACTAATGGGGTGATGGTATAGGCATGGTAGCATTGGTGGGTATATTAGTCAATTTTTCCAGGTATGTGATGACAGGTATGATGGTCCCTAACATGGTAGGCAGCGGTATGAGGTGAATTTGGCCTCAGAGACAACCCACTCATCCACAACTTTATTTCCAAACCAATATTTACCAAATTCACGCCTTAATGTAAATTTCTCTAACTTAAAACCATTGTTTCGTGTTCGCTCCTGATCCCATAGTTTAATTCCATAGTTATATCTCCTTTATTTAACCACATCTTCCATTTATATACCTCAATCATATTGCCCCTCAACCTACGTCTCTCAAGGAAATGTAAATTCAGCTTTCTTAAGCCGGATGCAACAGTTGAGTAACTAACACACAGTATTCATGCACAATATCGCGAACCTTCCTGTCTGACAACTGATAAATTTTAAACAAGGTTCACCTTTTAAAGGACTTCGGCCCATGACTGACCTGAAGACATTGGGGGCTCAGGATTGGTCAATGTGACAGTGAGAGGACCTTTACATAACACAGAAGGCAACTAGAAGTCAAACCCAAGCAGCACCATTAGAATAAACTACAAACCTAATGACTTATACACTATCTAATCATACACCCTAGCCGAACCCGGCCTATAGTTTTATAGGCCGGATTCAAACAAGGTCGGGATCACAATGAGACCGGGTTCCTAAGAGGTTGGATTCGGATGAGGCCGAGTTCACAGATACATTATTCGTGTAGGTTTGCAGGTGTGGTGGCGAAACTAACCAGATGTTGCTACAAGTGGGTAATAAACATGTGTGGTATTCCACCATACAGGTTTTCGGGCTGGTGGGGTGGATGGGAGCCTTCGCCTGTGAGGTGATGCTGATGCTCAGGTACTGGGACTCCCTCGTCGCCACCTCCGTCAACCTCTTCATCACCGCCGCCCTCGTCCCGCTTGTCGGGGTTGTGGTCGCTTACATCCTGACCAAGATTGTCTGCTTCGTAAGTCACACTGATCATCCGTGGACTTAGTTCTTGGTGCTGAGTATATATACTGAACGTGTTTACTTGTCATGTCATTTAGCATCTTGTGTATCTATACATGGATGTCATGAGGTACAGGTGTCATGTACGTGTCACTTAATATCTTGCATTACGATGTAAGAGTGTATCATATGCCACTTTAAGTACAGTTCCCCAATAACAATCAATTGTGCCATGCAGAGCCATAAGGTGTGTCGGACAGTGGCCATTGAAACAGGGTGTCAGAATATGGCCGTCGCCAGCAACATCATGCTCCTCTCCTTCAGCGACTCTCAGGTGAGACACTTGTTGTGAGACACTCAGGTGATACACTCGTTGTGAGACCGTCAGGTGAAACACTCGTTGTGAGACTAAGATGAGATACTCGTTATGTGAAACCCCGGGTGAGACATTTCCCTCTTGTACGTCCCATACTGGTGCGCATCAGTGCTAAATATAGTTAGAAAACATTCTCCAGGTATGACTTCCATAAGGAATCATTATGGAATAAAGGGAAACACAGGAGGTTGTTGATAGTTCAGTCAGGCGTTGATCTTCTCGTACTGACAGGTACGAAGGGGGATAGTAGTGCCAGACGCTTGTAGATAGCTCGGCCTGGCGCTGAGTATCTACCAGTCACCTTCCCTACCCCCCTCCCTCACTCTCCCAATGGACAGATACGGGGACAGATGGTGATCTTCCCGGTGGTGTACGGAGTATGCCAGATGGTGGAGGTGGTGGTGGTGACGGGAGTGTTCCAGGCTTGGGTCTTCCTCCACCGCGATGACGTTACCGAGGAGATGGTCATGTCCGTCGTCGACACCTCCATCCTGACCAGCGTCCCCGTCCCCGCCCACAAGCTTTCCAAGGTACAGTTAGTCTCTCACATCCCCAGTTATGTCTCTCAATCCTACCATGTATAGTATATGCCAAGTGCGTCCTAACCATACCAAGTACAGTACAACTCAGGAACGCCATAGCCCTCCCACGTACAGTTGCCTACAGGTGTAGTGTTCCGCCCCTCGGTGGAACATGTGACCAACAATATATATTTTCAGTAATATTTTACTCGAGATTTGTGCTAAGCGATACAATATCTGTTAAGAAGGTTCGATGATGATTCCGACGTGGCCACATGTTCGGAAAGGCCACCGGGGAGTAGAACACTATACCTGCGGGCAACTGTACATCCCAGCCCATACATTTTTGCAACTCACCTCTTGTACCTACCCTACAACTACTGTATGTCACTTATACACAGATGGAAATAATGAATTACACGTACTGTACTATTCTTGGAAATTTCGGAATTATACGAGTCAGGACTGCTTCACCACATATTGAATCTACGAGTATACTGTGTGTACACTGATATGAAATACCTGATAAACATACGAGCACAAACAGTAAATGACCATCTGTGTAAGGGAATTATTTACAAGGTGTAAAAATTACCAAATGATTTATTCTGATTCATAAATATTATTTTTTTTAAACTTTGTGCTCATTGCAGCACAAGAAAAAATCTTAAAAAGACATTTCACCTTCATTCTAGTCTAGAATTGAAAGAATGACGGGGCATGTGGAGACACCTGACCTCTGTCGAGACCAAGAACAGGCAGCCCTCTGGAGTCACACCTTTGCACACAGGTAATCATCAACGTATTAAAAAAGTTTCATTTGTAGACGTTAATGTTGTTTAATAGAATACCATGATAAAAAAAATAGTATTTACTCTGAAAATATAAACAGTCTCAATCTGATCACACACGCCAGGAAAACATTATTCTAACACAATACAACTAACTGTTTCAGCTGCGACCAAGGCCCTAACAACACCCAGAGGAATGGAGTGTTTTCCTCCATCCATCCATCACTAACAGCTGACGAAGTGGACGACCCTCCTTCATCCTGGACAAGGACGGGTCACTCGCCACCACCTTCTCCTCACCACAGGATCCCGCCAAACAGTCCCACCGCTCTTTGTGATTCACCTACTTACAGATCACATAATTTTGATGACCTTGGTTTTGCGTTGCACAGCTTGAGTCACAAATCTCACAGTCCAAATTGCGAGGACTTCCCACACAGTCCATACGACGAGTCGTCTTCAAATTTTGACTTTGAACTCTACCCAGAAGACATCCTGGAGTCCACCTACAACTACGACTCTGACTCCCCGCGTAGCCCGACACTCAGTAACAAGGGCGTTCCTAACATGTTCCCCGTGACAGAGAGCGACTTTCCCTCCGACAAAGAAGATTCACCTTTGCCTTACGGGAGTCCCATCCCATGCAACCGGGGAACGTTCCACAACTCTGTTGTGGCTCAGAGGACAGACGACGACGAATGTAGTGGCCGTGACACCCCGGGGGTACACAGCTCTAACGAGACCTCGAGGTTCCTTAACCTTGAAAGCCCCTCGCCCACCTCCCCTACCAGCCCGTCCCAAGCTGGGTTGTCCCGCACATTTGGATTTTATCACGATGACGTCCGCCTGGGACAGACTCAACAGTTCGGCACTTTTGGTAGAAAAAAGAATGTTTGAGTACCGGTACGTGTATAGCTTACATTTTACATTTACTGCTTCAACCCGTATCTGTAGTGTCGATATTATTCATGAAAGTACATATGTATTGTACTGTACTGTCCTGTACTGTACAATCAACACTGTATCATCATATAAAGTTTTCTTAAATCCAACGACGTGGTTTTCTTTTGAGCACTTTATTAACCTCATTGTTTTACGTTAATATGACACGATTCAGTTTCTTTGAACCACAGTAGGTCCATCTGACACTGACTACTGAATAAGAAAGAGTGATACACTTGTATTGACAGTTGACTTTATGGGTTAGTTATAAAAACTTTTGTCACTATCGTAATCACCTGTGAATTGTTTTGTGAACATATAAGAGTTCATACTGCTAGTCGGCACTCAGCCTCAGGTCCATACTGCTAGCCGGCACTCAGGCTCAGGTCCATACTGCTAGTCGGCACTCAGGCTCAGGTCCATACTGCTAGTTCAGGCTGACTGCTAGCCGGCACTCAGCCTCAGGTCCATACTGCTAGTCGGCACTCAGCCTCAGGTCCATACTGCTAGTCGGCACTCAGCCTCAGGTCCATACTGCTAGTCGGCACTCAGGCTCAGGTCCATACTGCTAGCCGGCACTCAGGCTCAGGTCCATACTGCTAGCCGGCACTCAGGCTCAGGTCCATACTGCTAGTCGGCACTCAATCCAAAACTCACTTTGGTCACTCAGGCTCAGGTCATACTGCTCGGCACTCAGGTCAGGTCCATACTGCTAGCCGGCACTGCTCAGGTCCATACTGCTAGTCGGCACTCACATATAAGGCTCAGGTCCATACTGCTAGTCGGCACTCAGGCTCAGGTCCATACTGCTAGTCGGCACTCAGGCTCAGGTCCATACTGCTAGTCGGCACTCAGGCTCAGGTCCATACTGCTAGTCGGCACTCAGGCTCAGGTCCATACTGCTAGTCGGCACTCAGGCTCAGAAGCCAATAAGATTAAGATTCCAGAAAACATCACCAGAGGCCATGTGATCCTAATTACTTTTATACATCACATTCATACATTCATACATGTTCTTTGTGTTAGTGCGCCTGCGTGATGAACATATCGGACGAACTTTCAGGCTAATGTTGACCTTGATCATTGCGGTTCTTGCTGGCTGTGGTAAACCTCTTCATCTGTATACAAGGTACAACTGAAATGACTAGTTGCTGTAGACTATCTATCACAATTACTACAGAATCTGTATAAATCATTCAGTTTACTACTTTTCCCTACAGATGTGTGTTAATCGTGTGAATGGTTCGAGAGAGAATAAAAAATGGAAAATGGTGGTAGATTCTCACGTGCAGATAATGTGAATGTTTGGTAAACAGAAAAACCTGGTACAGTGGTATAAGAGACACACCTACCTGGCATAATGAGATATAGTAGACACACCTACCTGGTATGAGGACTTTATGGGTGTGGTGGAACTGGTTGAGACACTGGAGAGCGGGATGAACGCCTAAGTGGTAGAGGAGGTCAGTCGCCTTGATGAGGCCATGTAGGGTCAGCAGTCTTCTGTACTGTTTGTCTTCCTCGCTGCCTGTAAGCACATAAAAGAAGTATAACTCACTGCTAATATATCAATACTTTGAATACCTGAATATAGGCCATAAACACCTTGCTAAACTAATAATTTATTTATTTATCATCATCATTATTATTATTATTATTATTATTATTATTATTATTATTATTATTATTATTATTATTAGTATTGTTATTATTATTATTATTATTATTATTATTATTATTATTATTAACAAACTCCTGCCTCACCTGGCTGGTAGGGTCCCTTGCGACTCTTGACCATCTGGTTGAGGAGGGATCGGGTGTGGTCTGCCTGGAGAGTGGAGAACTTATGGTTGTGGCCCACCACACCTCGTCCACGCAGGACATCCATCAGCTTCTCACCAAACCTCGTCACCACCACCATACAACTCTCATACGACTCTTTAAACAAAAAAGTTACGTGTCAGCATATGATGGACATTAAGAAAAGCAAATTATGTGTTTACCTTATGTTTATTATTGAAGTAACTTAACTGGGAAATCACCTAATTAACCGGAAATCAGATGACTTTTAGACTAGATTAAACTGTAAGTGAATCTATACATTGATATAAATTCTGGGAACCTTAGAAGAGAAATAATTGAAAGTTACATCAAATAAAATCCGTTACCCAACACAGACCTCTCTTGACCGTCAAGTGGGTCTTCCATATTATGACAAGGAATCAAGGAGAACCTACCACTCAGAGGCACCTCCAGTATGTAGTGGCTGGTGCTCCCCTCCCTCCTACGTTTCCTGGCTCGGGTCACGCTGCTGCTCCTGCTGGTATTGGTAGTGCTGTTGGTACTAGTGGTGGTACTATTAAGACTGATACTGGTGATGGTACTAGGAAGGTTGCTGACACTGGTACTGGTAACAGAGGTGACGGTACTTCTGACGGCCTCATTAGACTTGACGATGCTGCTGTCAGTGGCGGTGTTCTTGGTGTTGGTACCCCCTCCATCCTCCTCCTCCCGCCCCATCGTCGGCACAGTGCCACACCTAACGACCCTCCCAGCACACTCCTCCCTCCCTGGTGGTGAGGCGCCAGTATTAGATGATTGTATTCTGTTATCATAAGCAGAGTGTTCAGTACCGCTGGTGATTGATGGCGATGTGTTATGACTTGATGACGGTTGTACACCACTGGTAGACGGTTGTGCACCACTGGTAGACGGTTGTACACCACTGGTAGACGGTTGTGCACCACTGGTAGACGGTTGTGCACCACTGGTAGACGGTTGTGCACCACTGGTAGACGGTTGTACACCACTGGTAGACGGTTGTACACCACTGGTAGACGGTTGTACACCACTGGTAGACTGTTGTACACCACTGGTAGACGGTTGTACACACAGACGGGTGTACTACTGGTACGGTTGTACACCACTGGTAGACGGTTGTACACCACTGGTAGACGGTTGTACACCACTGGTAGACGGTTGTACACCACTGGTAGACGGTTGTACACCACTGGTAGACAGTTGTACACCACTGGTAGACGGTTGTACACCACTGGTAGACGGTTGTACACCACTGGTAGACGGTTGTACACCACTGGTAGATACTGGTAGACGGTTGTGCACCTGGTAGACGGTTGTACACCACTGGTAGACGGTTGTACACCACTGGTAGACGGTTGTACACCAATGGTAGACGGTTGTACACCACCGCAGACGGTGTGCACTACTGATAGACGGTTGTACACCACTGGTAGACGGTTGAGCTCCACTGGTAGACGGTTGTACACCACTGGTAGACGGTTGTACACCAATGGTAGACGGTTGTACACCACTGGTAGACGGGTGTGCACCACTGGTAGACGGTTGTGCACTACTGGTAGACGGTGTGCACTACTGAAGCACCACTGGTAGACGGGTGTGCACTACTGGTAGACGGTTGTACACCACTGGTAGACGGTTGTACACCACCGGTAGACGGTTGTACACCACTAGTAGACGGGTGTGCACTACTGGTAGACGATTGTACACCACTGGTAGACGGTTGTGCACCACTGGTAAACGGTTGTACACCACTGGTAGACGGTTGTACACCACTGGTAGACGGTTGTACATCCCTGATAGACGGTTGTACACCACTGGTAGACGGTTGTACATCACTGGTAGACGGTTGTACACCACTGGTAGACGGTTGTGCACCGCTGGTAAACGGTTGTACACCACTGGTAGACGGTTGTGCACCACTGGTAGACCGTTGTACACCACTGGTAGACGGTTGTACACCACTGGTAGACGGCTGTGTGCCCTTCGTACCGCTAGTAGACGGACGCTCACCAATGACGGACAAGGGGACATGACTGTGTTTGCTAGATGAGGCTCCCCTGTCGTCTTCTACATACCTGTTAGCATCTTCTATAACCCTAGGAGCATCCATTTCACTCCTACTAGCCATTTCAGACTCACGGGAGGAGGCCAGAGACTGTGTTACTACTGCATGTCCCGTATATCTACCACCCTCAGCTTTACGATGCCTGCTGATGAATTCCTCGAGGGTGGAGTCAAAGCCACGATCACCCCTGTTAGAGTGGTGTCCGGCCTCGATCTGACCGATTTTCGGCTTCATTTTAAGCTGACCAATCTTTTCGGAAATCCGTCTTACAAAGTCACTCATGAACAAACCAACCTTTGATGGACGGGTGGAAGATGTCGATTCTTCTTTTACAGTCATTTGGTTCGACATAACTTTGAGAGTACCTGGCAGTATTGTGTCCTGCATACTATTTTTTAGATCAAACTCGTCTTCTCTAATCTTGTCATCATGACCAGTAGATTCGGGTGTAATTCTTTCTTTCTTTAGCTCACTGGATTTGTCTGTCAGGACTTCAAGGCATACAGCACTTTCTAAATGACGGTTAATATTCACTTTCTCTCCGATATCCTCCTCTCCATGACAAACGTGTTCTCTTTGGCCTATTGCTTCTTCTTCATGCATCTCAGATTCATCTTTCATTTTATTCACAAGATATTTCCTAGTCGTGTTGTCCTCCACGTTAACCATATTCTCCACATTTTCTTTAAATTCACTACCATTATTGTCTGATTCACCCACCTCATACGGCATGGTTCCTGCTCCCTCTGGCTGGTTTAACCTATAACCACAAGACTCATCATCCACTGTTTTTCTTCTCTGTGTTCTCCCTAAATCATCATTCACCAATATTTTAGGAATTTCCGTAACTTCCATCTCTTCAATGTGTGGCTCTTTACATTGATTGTTTGTTTGTTTTAGTACATCTTCATCTTTTCCATTATCCTTACTTTCTTGAACTACTGTGTCACTTTCTGCTCCTATGATTTCTACCTCATGTTCAGTATTATTTTTCGTAGTACTTTCACTAGTTACCATCAGTTCTTTTTCTTTCTGTTCATATTCCTTGTTAGGTGTTGTACTATCTCTTACAGCCGTCGTCAGTATAGTTGTGAATGTAACTTCTGGATATAGAACTTGTTTGTCATCATTCTCTGTGTTTCTTTCATTCTGTTCCTCGTTAGAAGACTTTTCATTCATTTCCTCAACCATGTCGCTGGTCCCCTCTCTAGGTTTTGCTGCTCT